AAGCCCTGGGCCCCCCCCCCCCCCCCCCCGCCAACTGAAAGAAAGTTATCATTCTTCAATTGCTCAGTCAATGGCCACACAATTGAACTATAACACTACACGAACTTTTGGTAATATCATAATGTAAGTCCTAGAAATCCCTCTTAACCCTTCAAGGTCTTAGGTAGTGGTCAATCCAACATAGCAGCCACCTTCGATGGATCCACCGACACCACGAGTTCTGAGCACTCAACTTTTGATTGTGCAAAAGAACACATCTTTAAGTTAGCATAGAGCTAATACTCATTGAGCGTCGTCAACACCTTTAAATGATCAATATGGTCTTCCAAAGAACGTCTATACGCTAAGGTATCATCAAAGAACACAAACTTCCAGAAGAAAGACTAAAACAACTTGTTCATCAATGATTGAAATGTAGTAGGTGCATTGGTGAGCCCAAATGTCATAACCAGAAATTCGTAGTGGCCATCACGAGTTTGAAATGTAATCTTGTGTATACTCATCGGCCACATCTAAATCTGAAGGTATCCTTACTTCAAGTCAAACTTGAAGAATACTGAAGCCCCAAACTCGTCTAGTGGTTCATTGATCATCAATACAAGAAAGTTGTCAGCTATTATTTTCTTATTCACTCCTGATAATCCACACATAAAGCCTCCCATCATTCTTCTTCACTAGCAAGATTGGGCTAGAAAAGGGGCTTACACTAGGATGTACAGTACAACCTCCAACATCTCGGATCAATCTCTCGATCTCATCCTTTTGTACATGAGGTTCACGGTATGAACATAAATTGATGGGAGAAACCTCCAATCTTGGGGTTAATGCATGCCCATGTTCCCACCGAGGTGATAATCTACATGGCAATTGAAAAACTTTGAGAAATTATTGTAGGAGCTATTAGATCAGTGTTGGGATCTCTGTCAAATCTATTTCGTGTCTCTTACATGCTATACAACTTGATCAAGAATCTTAACCATGCATTCTGTATCGCCCTAACCAAGGTTTTGAGTGTCCTCAAGGTCCTACACAAACTAGGATCATCACGAAACACCACCACCTTATCTCTCTCCTGAAATTCCATGGTCAAGAATTTCCAAGTGAACTTAAGTCTCCCCTAATGATTGCAACCTTTCATACCCAACCTCATGCCAGTGCTTCTTAAATTTATGGAAAGAAAATCCTCCATCACCTGAATACCTTGTAGTGTTAAAATCACACATTTACAAGCTTCCCTCTCTTTTGCACCTGTCCTCTCCCCATCATGACTCCAAAATTTCTTGTGTCAACCATTTCAAGCCCTAATTGTTTTATTACTTGAATAGAGATGAAGTTGTGAGAGGCCCCACTATCTACGAATACCATTATGTCTTGCTTTTTAATTTGTTCCTGAAGTTCTATAATGTTGTTCGGTGTTAGCCCCACCACCAAATTTAATGAAACTTTTGTCACATCCAAGTGAGGGTGCTCCTCCTCCACCACAGCCTCTATTTATTCATCCCCTGCCTCCACATTACACATTGTGAGAAACTGCAAGGTTTGACCCTTGCAACAGAGTCCTGGGGCAAACTTCTCGTCATTTTGAAAGCATAATCCCTTGGTTTGCTTTTCCAAAATCAATCTCTGTAAGACATTTGAATGTCACCTCCAATAGTTACCCATTATTCCTGTCCCACGAAGCCTCCCTCTGGAATCCCACTATTTGAGTATTTTGTATCTTCATGGTTATAAAATTTTGATAGGGAGCTCCACTTGTGTTGCTTCTATTATCTCGTTCCATTGCATTTTTATCTTCAATCAATTGTACTACTTCTATAGTTTCCCCTAATCCTCAAGATCTCAGCAGATGAACCGTTGCTCGAATTTCTAGCCTCAACCATTATGTGAAATTTCCTTCCAACAAAAATTTTAATACCCCTCTCAAACAGTCAAATATTATCTCAAATTTCTCCATATAATCCATTACGAACACTTCCTACACAAATGCAAAAAGCTACTCATGCATATCCCCTTCCCGTGTCGTTCTAAAATGTTCCAAAAATTAGTCTTAGAACTCTTCTCATATTCTAATTGGCTGGCGTTGTTCTCTTCATTAATACCACACTAGAGCCTTACCTTCTTCCAAAAGTCTGGCTCACCCGCCTTCATAGGCTTTTGAAACACCTTCCACCTGAAAGATTGTTGCCGCAAAAGACAGTATCACGGTTAGATGCAACCCTCAAATGGATTCCCTTTTTCAGCCTAAAATCCTTCCAATCGATCTTCACCAACACCGAATTACATGTTGTCTCATTCCACCTATTGTCGTTTATCCCAGTCGTCTGAATATTATGTTATTCCTTCTAAGTTTTGTCGCTCGAGTTCGCTCTTGATTCCTTCGCTCGATCCCGTGGCTCCAAATCTGCTTAAGGCAACAACGCTGCCTAGATGCTACATGAATACTTCTGATTGTTGCCGCTTGCGTGCGCTCCAGACTTCATCGCTTGATACCATGCAAGTTTCCATCAAACTTTGCAACCTTCATTATCATTTCTTTCAGGGCCGTGGATCTCCCCTCCATAGAAGAGAAACTCTCTATTCCAAATCTGATTTGGCTCACCTCTCCTGCTAATTTTTCCTCCAAAACATCTACTTCTTGGTAGTCATTACTCCCATGATGGTTTTCAATCACAAAAAGGAAATTCATGTACAGTATTATCCATCATTGGCTTCCCAACTAGCTTGAATCGCAACTATATCACGAGGTTCAATAAGAAAGGCAACATTGCGATACCATTGTTGGATTCCCAATTAGCTCAAATCGCAACTATATTGTGAGGCTCAACCAGGAAGGCGACGCAACGCGGCGGAGACAAGATTGTCACTAAGATGGGGATGACACCTTAACAATTTCATAACGATAAAAGTACCTTGCTCTGATACCAATTTGATAGGAACAAGGCAAATTTCCGTAGAAATTAAAGCAGAAAAAATTGAGTATTATTCTTTCAAATATCAAATCAAAATGATATGATACCAACTACATAAAAGATAAACCTACAATTCAAGAGGTAGTAATATCTCTCTCAAACCCTAACCCTAAGATTCAAGACAACAATCACATAATATAAACCTAAATATATTAAGTCCTATTTACACCCCACAATAATATCCAACAAATGACTAAATTGTCCTTTTATTTTTGAGCCTAACATAAGTTTTCCAATTATTTGGAGGGCATGACATCGACCAAGTGGAGCATGAGGCGAACGACGCCATTGACGCTGGTCTAACAAATTGATATTATAATGTGGATCATAAAAAATTTGGATGTTATATTTCTACAATTTTGCATGTTGAGATTATTTTGAAAGATTAAGGTTTAACGGCTCTATTATAACTTGGATGGTGTTTTTAGGTGATTATAAATTATTATAAATTGTTATATTAATCACATGTGATGTATGTGTGAAGTTGTGAATTATACATGCTGCAATGGTTTTAAGATTACGCGATTGAAATTTTTTTGGTAATGGCAAATCAATAATACATGGTGATTCACCTCTTTCCACAAAAATAATCCATTCATTTCTCAGTTTCTCCAAGCTCTTCAACCGATCTGTGGCATAACAAACTTCACACATTCCCTTTACACTTGCCTAACTTGTTTCTCTTCTCATGTGACTCCCAAGTATAAATGCATCCTCATTATATTGTTACTAGCATGATAGCTAAAGCCCATTTGGCATCAATTTTATTTTCTTTTTTCTTTTTTTTCTTTATTTTAAAAAACATAGTTGTTTGGTATTATTTTTTAATGTTTTTTTTTTAATTTTAAAAATAATTTAACATTGAAAACACTCAAAACGACTTTTATGTGTTTTAAACAACAACAACTGCAACCAAACTTGTTTTATTTCAAATCAAAATATGAACAAAATAAAATAATAATGAAAAAAAAAACACGAAAGTGATTCCGAACTGCCTCAAGCTTTTGTGCTCGACTAAGATACAATTTCCGATATCAATTTTGAACATGGTTGAATTCTCCTTCCATGTCTTAAAAATATTGTTCCTATTAGTTACAGGTGATCCTTTATTTCTTTTTGTTAGTTTTACTGTTCTTTTTCATGACTGTGGCCTTATCTCCGTTGTCTTTTAGTATAAACCTGCTATTTCTTCAATCTATGAGAAAACAATGCAATGGCACTGAAGAATCTATATCTTCAACAACCAAAACTACAATTAACATAAGATTGGAATGGCTTAATTTTAAGCTTGCTGGAAAAAAAAATTACTTTGGTACATAGAACTCAACCTGCAAGGGTGCTTTGATCTGAAAACATCAACAAAAGGGCCACCGCATTCTTTTAGCATGGACCTTAACCATGTCCTCAACCTACAACATGTTAAAAACGCACTATAAATTTTACAAGGAAGGCACAATTACAAATAACTTCAAAAAGAAAATAAACCCAGCTAAAATAATTAGAATTATTCCAAATAATTCTACGCCATCCCGACAAAAATATAGAGAAATAGATCGTGCATTTTAGGATATAGATATAGTAAACATATTAAATGCCAAATTCAAGAGCTCTATATTTACTGCAGTTCAGACTAGTCGTACACAATGCCTTTCGTGATGCGGGGGCCATTATGCTGAACCAGACACGAAGCTTCTGTGGCATGCAATGGACCGCTTTATGGGAAGGAGGTCGGCTGGCCCTCCCGGTTACAAAAATTCCGCCCTTCCTTTGCTATTCATGTATCATTGTTTTTCTTGGGGTTTAGTTTTTCCTATTCGATTCTACCGAGAGCTTCAGTGTCTCCTGCTTCCTCCGAGGGTTGTACCCTGGGGTGAGAAGATGTTTGGGTTGTAACTCATCCTCCGATGGTATGTATCTTCCTTCCCGTTTACATCCTCGCTCCCTTCCTCCCACATTTCTTCCCCTTTTCACGCTGCTGCCCCTTCAATCCGCTGTCCAGGCCGACCCTCTAGCTGGCCGCACCTGCCCACAGGAGTCCCTAATGCGCCCCCCACCCCCCACCCAGTCACTTCACCCCTAACCCTCTACTCCCCAGGCAGCTTAGGATGCCAACCACCTATCCCTCTCCCTGACTTCACCACCGCACCCTATCCCCCGGCCCAGGTTTTTCCGTCATTGGCAGGCCAATTGACCCCCTTGTGCTTCTTCCTGCAGCCAAATCCCCACCGATTACCTACAGCAACCACTTGCCAGCCCACACTGATCTGATATCACTCTTGTGGGGATTGTTGTGCCTGTCGTTATTGTTATTTCCTTATTTCAGTTGCTTTTTATAATCCCCTCTTTAAGTTTCAATAATAATATTATTATTCCGTTTATTCGTGTTGTTTTGTGGCCTAGTGGCCTATGTAAAAATGATAATATTATTTGCTTGTAGTTGTTTGGGTTAACTACGGTATCAGCTAGACTATGACATATACACCAAGCATCTATGCCTTACTGGGTTTATGATACCCAATGGAGACTTTAAAGCTTAAATTAGCATTTAAAAGTACGTTAGATCTTGAAATTGGGCTTGTTTAAGCATCTGCTTCTCTTGGATAAGAAATCCAAAAAACTGAAAAATGGAAAAAAAGTAGAATAAATCATACTAACATGGAGGTGTTGACCTCATTTTTAGTGAAGTCTTAGTCTCCTACTCTTAGGACATAGGATCTAGCTTTAGGAGTTCTTATTGACTATCCTAGCGGACTAGCAATGGAGCCCACCTCCCGTAGAACTTCAAACTGCTTCTTAACTCATTTTTGTGAAGAACTCGCATGAGTGGTTCCAAGCACTCAATTTCTAGTTGCAAGGGCTAAGGACCAACATGTAGAGGGCCCAAAAATAAGTTCCTATAGGATCAAACGGCCTTAGGTGAACCTATTTGTGACTCGAATACTCACGAACGCCGCAATTCACACACTCACTGCACCACACACGACTTTGACTTGATTTGACTTGCCAACCAGTGAGTTTGTCTGGACGACCCCGGATGACGAAACAGACCGCACCGATGCGTCCAGGACGTCGACTTTATAGGACGTCGACTTTAGCTAGGAAGGACACCCGCATTGTTATGGTTTCGTGCGCGAGCGACTAACACGAATATCGATGCATATTTTTAATTAGCGAGGCGCGGGCCCGGACTATACCCAGGTTCAACTCATATTTGATTTGGGTTGGACTCGAGCTGAACAAGGGTTAAACGATTTTGAATTTTAAATTTTTGAATTTCAAATTCGTCATTTAATTTTATCTTAATTGAGAGTTAAAACTTTCCATTTGAACCTAACTACCTGAATGGAAGTCTTTTAATTCCCCGCCAAGGTAACAGCTCCTTTGATTAATTCGGCCCGCTCCTATAGGAACATTGGCTTCTTCTTCGGAGGGGGGACACGATTCGACTTCCTCTTCCTCCTCACGCTCGATCCCGTGCCCCTCCTCCTTCACAGACCGAGACCCTCGTCTCTCAGTCTCGACTCCCACTCATGCTCGCCTTCTTCCCCTCTCTGCCTCACGCATCGAAGCCTCGTCTACTTCCTCTTCTTACTCGACCGAAGGCCCCCCAATCGCTCGCTCCTCACTCTCGCTCACCCTCGTCGGCTTCCTGCTCGCTCGACGACACCTTTCCATCCCGATCTCGCTCGCCTCCTCACCTCGGCACAGCGACCCCCGCTCGCCTCTTCTTCTCCTCGATCGAACGCCTCTTCTTCTCTTCGATCGAACACCTCCTTCACCCCTTCAAAACGCCGAACAGCCATTCGGCTCTTCCCTCACGCACCGAAATATCATCCTTCAGTTTGATTCCGTCTCTGTACCGAAAGTCTTCGTCTCATCTCCCCAGCCCCGCTCGCCTCCTCTATATCAAAACTTCTGCCTGCCTCATCCTTCTGCTTCGCCTCCTCCTCGAGGCACCGAGACCGCTCGATGCCCTAGCCTCCTCATCTCACGCTCCTCTCGTCCGAAATGCTAGTCGAACATACCCCTTTCCCTTGTGGCTTCTTCGTCGTAGGTGCTTCCTCGCCGTCGAACAGCTCCCCGGCTCCCGCCAGCAAGTTTACATAAAGGAAATTTGGAACTGTGAAGTTAATTCAAATTTGGAAGAAGAAAGTGAGAAGCTAAGCGGAGAATTTTACATTTCAAGCTTTTCATCAATACAGAATCAATATATTCTCAGGTTATTTGTTTCATACTAAGTAAACTTTGTTTATCATCTTTAAACAGAATGAATCTGAATTAGCTACAGTTATCTTGAAATTAAGAAAGATTTACATACATGCCACTTAACTTTTATGTGTTTACATATCTAGCACCTAAACTTTAACTCTTACACACATACCAGACAATTCTTAGGTATTTACATTCCTAGCACCTAAACAACCATATTTACATGCACACCACTCAATCTTTGTGCATTTACATGAAAATGTGAATTTCGAATTTTTAAGGATAGAATCACGATATTTCGATGCAATATGAAAGATTTGGGTGGTATAAATGTAGGAATTGAAGTTTAGTTTTGAGATATGTTAACGCATAAAAATTGTGGGGTTTGCATGCAAATCTTTATTCGATTATTTTTGGCCAGATTCTCGGTATTATCGTTGTATTGAAGAAGAATTGGGATGTCGTTCTAAGTTGTCATTCTTACTGTGTTGCCTTGACTTTTTTACCGTTTGGATACTATAAATTGTTGGTTTCAAAGGCTTTATATGCCACCCGGATGTTGATTCATTTACCGTTCTTGAGGGGCTTTGTGCCCCATTTAAATGCTGATTTTAGGGGGATTTACTTGCTGTTTTAATGCTGTTTGGAGGATAAATAAATGATGTTTTGGGGACTGTTTTGGGCTAATTTTGTTGCAGTTTTTAGGGCTTTAAATGTACACTTTTATGAAGGTTTTGTCACTATTTTGGGGCTGGTTTAGATTGGATTCGCAGCAATTTTTTTTTGCTACCTTTTAAGAAAGGTTTTGTCACTGTTTTTGGACTAATCTAGACTGGTTTCGCTGCAACTCTTTGAACATTTTTAGGGAGGTTTGGTCATAATTTAAACGCACATTGTTTTGGGATGTTCTAGGATTGTTTTATTCACTGCTTTGGAGACATCAAAGGCATATTATGAACACCATTTTGGCACTGTTTTAACGTTGTTTTGGAGGCATTAAAAACATCATTTCGGGGTTGTTTATGCACCGTTTTGGAAAAGTTTTGGGCATCATTTAAGCAATAATTTACATGTTGATTTGAAATATTTAAATGTTATTTTGGGCCGACCAAAGCACTGTCTTGGAGTAGATTTAAACGCTCT